CTAGTTTATATCTATGACTTCTTGTTCTTGAAGTTCCAGGTCTCAGGAAATCTTCCCTATCGATTTTATCAATTCCTGTTACTATTTTGTATGTAGTGATCATATCACCTCTTTTTCTTCTGTCTTCTAGTTTTGGCATGTTTAATGCCTCTAACCTCTCCTCGTAGCTCTTGCCCTTCAGTTCTGGGAGCCACTTAGTAGCATGTCTTTGCACCTTTTCCAGTTTGTTGATGTGCTTCTTAAGATATGGGCACCACACAACTGCTGCATATTCTAGCTTTGGCCTAACCAAAGTTGTGAACAATTTCTTTAGTATATCGCCATCCATGTATTTAAAAGCAATTCTGAAGTTAGAAAGCATGGCATAGGCTCCTCGCACAATATTCTTTATGTGGTCCTCAGGTGATAGTTTTCTATCTAGAACCACCCCTAGATCTCTTTCTTTATCAGAATTCTTTAAAGATTTCTCACATAATATATAGGTTGTGTGGGGTCTATGTTCTCCTATTCCACATTCCATAACATGGCATTTATTAACATTAAATTCCATTTGCCAAGTGGTGCTCCAGATACTTATTTTGTCCAGGTCATCTTGAAGGGCATGACAATCATCTAAGTTTCTTATCCTTCCTATTATCTTAGCATCATCAGCAAACATGTTCATATAATTCTGTATACCAACTGGTAGATCATTTATGTAGACAATAAACATCACTGGTGCAAGAACTGAACCCTGTGGTATTCCACTTGTGACATTTCTCCAGTCCGATACATTGCCTCTGATCACTGCCCTCAATTTTCTATCAGTCAGAAAATTTTTCATCCATGTTAGTAGCCTACCTCTCACAATGTAGGAGACCTCTGAGTCCCACCTCGCCTTGTGCGAGTTTGAAGGTTGCTCTGTCCTCCTGTTTTGGGGTGACATTCACCATCTGTCTCCACCTTGCTGCTTGTTAGGGTCAGTGACACCTATGACCCGGAGTCCTGCGAGTGGTGTTCTTTGCTTGTACTCCATTCACCCAGTCCACTGAGACTGATATTTGGGTGCAGGCAGTATTATCGTTGCATGCAAGGTTTAAGTTCCAGCAACGTGCGAGGTTGGTTGCCTTTCCGGATGCCCCGCTGCTGCCTTGCTGAATAATACTGTAGTGAGACTCGGGTGGCTTCGGGGATTGCCCCTTCCGGATCAGTGGCGGAGGTATTCGAATTTGGTCCTCCTGCTGGAGCTTTTGGGCCATGCCAGCGGGCCCCCTTCGTTCCTGCTTTTCCGGTGGACTCTACTTTTTCTCTGAAGGCAGAGGGTTTGGAGGACGGCTCGGCCCCGGGTCCTGACGTGCAGGGCTTGTTGTTACAGGGGAAGGGGATTTTTCCTTTCCCCATTCCTGTTCGTTTCTGTTATGCGTTTGACTCCTCCCCGGGTTCATGTCCGAGTTCCCTTGGGTTCTTCGGTTCCCTCCTTCCGATTTTTTTTTTTTTTTTTTGTCTTCCCGCATCCTACGGAGGAAGGTGTGGGAGGCCCCTTGCGGCTTACCTCCTGCGAGACCCGGATTACGCCTCGATAATAAGCCTTTTTTTTGAGTTTGGTTCCTCTTGTCTTTATTGGGTGCATTACAAAGTGCTAGAGTCTTCTGGACTTACAGACTGCCTTTTCTTCTTTGGGGGGCTTGGCATTCGTCCTGTCAGAATGCGCACTTGAACGGCGAGATTTGCTTACGGTCATTCAGGTTTTCCTGGGGGTGAGTTGGAGCACGTCAAGGTATGCTAGTTCGCTCCCGTTCTTCCTTATGATGTCGGCCAGGTGCGGCTTCACATGCAGGTTCCCTTTCGGCATCCCTGGTGGCCGAGGATTTGTGCACCTGTGGGCACTTGGCTTCGGTTCTTGCGCTTCTTTTCCCTGCTGGAGCTGTCTTTGGACTGTCTCGTGCTGGGAGTGGAGGAGCTGGGTTCCGGGCCAGTGTCTTGTGTGCTTGCTTTGGCAGCTCGGGCGCCGGCTGCTTTGGTGAAGTTGTATGCACCGTTTTTGAGGGAGGCGGTGTCTGTTCTTCGCTTCTCGCCTCACGTGCTGACAGGCGGTGCTCGTCCAAATTTTGGAATCGTCTTGGACCCTGGCTCTTAGATTTTCATCACCTTTTTGTTCGTTACTGGTTGCAGAGTCTGCGGTGGTGCTTTTTCTACATGCGGCTTCGCTTCATCCTGTGACGGCCTTTGTTGGACTTGTAGGTTCTCCGGGGGGGGGGGGGGCAATGGAGGTCCAGCTCGGAAGGGTCATGCCAGATCTCGGGGTTCCTTCGGTCGTCGTAAGCCAGTAGTGCCAGATTCGGGGCCAGCACCTCTTCTGGAGCTGTCGGCATTCTGGTCGCCGCAGTGATCGCTCTTAGCATCGGTTGGGCTCTCGTAGGGGTCGTTGGCCTTTTCGTGGGTTGCTCCGTTGACGGGGCGATAGGGGGGAGGCTCGCGCTGTTTGCTCTCGCCTGGTCCCACAATTCATGGGCATTTCGGGTCATTTCCTCCGACCTGTGGTGGCATTGGGTTGCTCCTCCTTCGAGGGGGATCAGGGCTGGCAGGGCAGGCCTCTTCTCCTGTGCTCTGTCAGGTCATCCTGGGGTGGGTTCGCTTCGGTGTGGTCGAAACGACAATGTCCCTCAGGTGGGTTCCACCTGTTTTCAGTTCCGAAACGGGACTGTGCAGATCTGTGATTCATACTGGACTTGTCTAGTCTGAATCCCTGGGACTTTTGCCCCTCCTTTGGGATGACCACTTTGTCTCACGTCCTGCAGCTTTTGGCACCGGGTGCCTGGATGGTGTTTTGGGTCCTCCGGGACGTGTTTTGGTTTTATAATTTTATTGTACGTGTCCCGATTCATCCGGGGTTCAGTGACTGGCTCGGTTTTGTCGTGGGGCGACAAGTTTACTGCTTTCATTGCCTTCCATTCGGCTTGAATCTGACACCTCGAGTGTTCACACGCTTTACCGGGTCGTGGTGACCTGTTTGCTTCTGTTAGGGGTTCAGGTTCTGGCTTACCTCGACGACTGGCTGGTGTGGGCTGCCAGCCAGTTCGCATGTCTGCTCGCCAGGGATATGGTTCTTTCCCATCTCACCGGGTTCAGGTTCATGGTGATCTGGAGGAAGTCCTTTTTGGTTCCCTCTCAGGTTCGGACTTGGCTGGGTCTGGTGTGGGACTCATGGACTGCTTCTTTGTCTCTCCCTCCTGCGATGCTGTTGCAGCTGCGGTCCCGCCTCCGGCTGTTTTTGGAGGGCACTCGGGTCACACATCTGTTGTTTGAGCGGCAGTATGAAATTTCTTGGCAGTCCATTCGGCAAATTTTTATCTCTTCGTAGGTTGTTTTCGATTCTGATTGGATTGTTTTGTTCTTTCTCTCTTAGTTATTTCAGGACCGTCATCTTATGCCAAATTCTGTCGCCTCGTTTCGTGCTGCGCTGGCGGAGCCGCTGCAGCTTGCTTTTGGGGTGGATGTCTTTTCTGCTCCGTTCCACAAGCCTTCTCGGACATTGTTTCACCTCCGGCCTGCTCATGGACCGCCTGAGCCGTCCTGGTCGTTGGACTGGGTGCTCTCTTTTCTCTCTTCTCCTCGGTTTGTGGGGGCCCCCTCAGTTCAAGACTGTTTTTTTAAGGCTCGTTTCTTGAGGGCTTTGGTTTCTGGGGGTCGGGTCAGGGAGCTTCATGCCCTCCTCCGGCACAGGGGTTTCTGCTCTTTCGGTCCTGGTGGTCATTTCGATCGTTTGCAGCCTTCTCCTTCTTTTATGGTGAAGAATCAGTCTGCTGCTTGGGTTGTTGGTACTTGGTTGGTTCGGCCGGGGGTGCATCATGTTTTGTGTCCAGTTGCGGCTCTTCGCTGGTATCTGCGTGCCACGGCCTCCGTGGCAGGGGACATGCTTTGGGTGGACCTGGTTTCCCCTTCTTCCCTGTTCCAAGGTGTGGTTCTTCCAGGTCGTCTGCAGGATTATTCTTTCCAGCCAGCCTAGGGTCTATCCCAGTGCCCACTACATTCGTAAGTTCGCGGCTTTGGCTGCTGTTTTGGGGAATATGTCCTGGGCTGACATTCGGGCACAGGGCTTATGGAAGTCGAAGAGGTTCCTGGCTGCATGGTATTTCGTTTATGTTTCTGGGCCTTCTTGGGCGTGTGTAGCCTTGGGTTGCAGGTTGCAGCCATTTGTCTCGACTTCGAGTTGAGGAGCGAGTGATGACCGCCTCCCGGGTAAGTCCCTCTTTTTCTTTATCTTTGGGTAGGTAGCTCCAGGGAGCTGAAGGGGCTCTCCACAGAAAACCAGTGTTGAAGGTAATGAAACGCCATTTTCTGGGTGAGACCCGGAGGCTTCCCAGCATCCCTCCCTCCCTCCGGTCAGCGGTTTTTCATGTTTTTTGATACTCAGCCTCTGAACTGAGGAGAGTTGCCGGCATGGAGGTCTGGGACCCCCCCCTGTCCCCCTCCCCGGAGGGGGGGGGGTTGTGCAGACGGATGCACGGCGGATGTGGTGACGTCATACTTGTTTCCTTGGTTTTGATTGGGGAGTTCTGTTGCTAGTTCGGCTTTCGGTTTGCAATTTATTTGATGAGCAGTAGTTTGTTTTGGAATGCCTACCTTTCTGGGTGCCTGACCTGGTAGATGGCAGAAAAGACTGCTTCCAATTACACAGGAGTGTCTTTAGGCCATTGCTTCTCGTGCCTCTCTTGAGGGGGCCAGGTTCTGGCTCTGGTCCCCGGTAGGCTTAGAACTCATTCGATTGACTCTTGCCATGGTCTAATATATACACATCAGCCCAGTATAGCTCCGGGGAGCTTCCGGGTCTCACCCAGAAAATGGCGTTTCATTACATTCAATGCTGGTTCTTTGCAGAGGACATTTTTATGTAATTGTATTTATTGTTGTATTTTTCTAATTTTTTAAAAATATTTTTGGGTGAGATTTGTATTGAATTGGTAATTGGGTTTAACCTATTACTCTTATCTCACACATTATTTTTATCATTTTTTTTTTAGCTTAATGCTTCCACTGATGGGAGAGAAAGAAGATTCAGTTGTAACTTCCAATTCAATCAACTCAACTCCTGCATCAGATACTTTTTATACAGCTACTTCTGTTCTTTCCCCTGACCCTTATGACCTGACATCACCCTTGTCTCCACTACCTCTTGATGCACCTCACTCAGGAACTGAAATGGATAAAGAGGAGTCAAACAAGGGTGCTCTTGGTGCCTTTGTTGGTGATAGAAGTGACTTCGTTTCTAAAGTGCCTAAAGAAAAAGATGCAAAAGAACATGATATATCACAGTTTGAGAAAGATGATGAAATGTGTGCGTCTGTGTATAGATCTCCTAATGTCAGTGATACTGAAAATGTGTCAAAAATATTTCCACCTAATGATAAGGATGTTAGTGATATAGATGAAAAGTGTTTACCAGCTGTAAATGATACCGAGTTAAAAGGTACATGTAATATTATTGACAGTGGTGCTTTTCTCACGTCTCCCATCCTTCAAGTTGATGGCCGTTCAGAATTACAGGGATCTCCTGCTATAGGCTTAGAAGCGACATCTACACCTATTAAAGCTGGAAGTACTCGAGGGCTTGGAAAGGGTTTTGGAAATAAATGCAGCCAGTTATACGATAAAGATAAAAAAGAAAATTCAAGTTCTTTTTTGTACAATGTAAATGGGATTGAGTTTTCTGAATTAAACAGTGTATCATTGAACAGAGATTCCGGTAACCCTAATTTATTTGAATCTAAGTTAGATAATGGCAACACAAAATCAAATAACAATAATGGTTCTTCGGGAAATGGAAACATGGAAGTAAATCAATCTCAAGAACTGGAGCCTGAGAAAAAATACGTTGATAGAACTTTATTAACTAGTGCAGAAGACAGTGATATACCGAGTGATGGAACCAAAAAATCCCCAGCTTGGTACTCTGAGTTGGACGGAAATGAAGGAAGTGCACTAATATCTACAGATACTGAAGCTGCGAAAGCAGCAGAGGTGCTTTTAAGACTGAGGGAAAGCAGTGATAATTCCAATATCAGCATCAATGAGAAGGTATTGTGTGCAGTTGTTTAAATTATATTGCTATAAAATAAGTACAAATCTTATTATTTATTTTGGTTATTGTGTATTGAACTTAAAATAATAGTATATGTGCATAAGGTATTAAAAAAAAGTTTGTGCTTGAGCTTACTTATTTCTCATCACAAAATGGTTCATTCAAAGTGTCTTGCATACACTATTAGGAAGTTCCCGAGAACTCTCTTTGTTTTATATATTTCTGAGCAAGGCCCCACAGTTTCCGAGCCCTTAAGCTGCTAAGGGGTCCTGAGGAGATTTACACCCCTGTGCGCAAGAAAAAAAACTTTAAAAAATTATTTCATCTTCTAAAAAGTTAATTTGTGTTCCCTGAGCACGGGAAAAATAAAAAAAATTACAGGTGACATATTTTGGGCGCAATGGGCCGAGGAGGTCTAGCAAATTGTGGGCGTCGACAGAGCAGTCGTCAGAGCCGGTCAGCGTCATCCGAGCTGACAGGTGGGAGTTGCCACAAAGATATTATTACTTAATCATTTCAATGTCACTGATTGATTTTTCTTATTTTTTTTGCAGTAATATTATTCTATAGTGTGTATTGTGATATATTTATATAATAAAAGGGGTGAATCATTGCTATACTCGAAAGTATGGTGTGCATATTAGTGACTCAATTATTATGTTCATAAAACAATAAACAAATAGTTTTGCTGTTATTACACTCTATACACATGTTATATATAAGTATATGCATGTTTTGTTCACCATAACAAACCATTAAGTTGGTATTGTGACTCGAAAAACGAGGAGTGACTGCCACACACCAGCCAGCCACTCGTTGCCACTCCCTCAACAACGCCTCACTCACCCACTTTCTCCTCCTACCATCCTGTTTTTTTATTTTATTCACTATATACAGATACTATATATAAGTAGCTACATGTTTTGTTCAACACAACTGTACAACTACGCTGATATAGTTAGTTAAGTCACTAAGACTCGTCACTACACACAAGTCAGCTGGCGGCTGCCTCCCTCACTCATTCAAGGTCACACACACTAAACTTTCTCCCCCAACAATACCATTTGTGGTGTTATTACACTATATACAGATGTTATATATAAGTACCTATATGTTTTGTTCACCACAACTGTACAACTAAGGTGATATAGATAGTTCAGGCACTAAGAGTCGTCACTACGCACAAGTCAGCTGGCGGCTGCCTCCCTCACACATTCAAGGTCACAGGTACTAAATTTCTCCCCCAACAATACTGTTTGCAGTGTTATTACACTATATACACACATTATATATAAGTATCTACTTGTATACACAGTAACTGTACACCGAAGCTTGTAGAGTGCCCAAAGAGCATAGTGGCCACCCTCTACATGGCTAGACAAGTCATGCAGACGACGCCACCTCCGTCACCCAAATGGCTCCTCCCAACATAATCCTTTTGCTGATATTACACTAATACACACATTATATATAAGTATCTACATTTGTGTTCACCATAGAGAACCACTGAGCTGGTATGGTGAATGCAGACAATAAGAATGCAGACAGGAGGCCCACACAGTCAGTAAATGTAAATGATCTCCCTCTGTCCCTCAGCATTACTCCTCCCACAGCACTAATTATCACAACAATCCTGCTATTATCACAATCCTGGTATTTTTATCACAGTCAGGGGTCATCTGTAATACTGTCTTCACTAAATAATAGCAGTTATATATTTATTTTAACATTTTTTGGCGATGCTGTGGTCACAAGCTGAACAGCAATGCTGTTCGCTCATGCTGCGTGCGCCAGCCTTGGTTGCTCCAACAGTACTGTGGTTCTCACACTGGAGAATATTGCCCACGATTTTTTTTTTAAATGGTGTCTGTTTACAAGAGTCCTGAGGAAGCTAATGTGAACCTCGGCTGCATGCGCCTAGGGTTACCTTCCCTAAGTGCCCTGTAAGTACTGCCCTTCGGCCTTTGTATTACCTTCCACAAGTTCCTTGGGTCCTGCCTCTGCTGGGCTGTTTAACTGCTTGGTTTATCGGCCGCCCTTTGGGTGCTTGGGGGTTTTGCCTCCCTTGTTTATCTTAGGGTAAAAGGCAGTTTGCACTGGTACGGGGCACAGAGTGCTACGCAGTTGTTTTCACCATACATAGCGGCCGGCTCTGTTCCTTTGGGTACGTTGTCCTCTTGCGGGGTTTTGTTTTTCTTTTTGTTTGCACCTTGTGAGGGTCTGCCTTGCTTGCCCCTTGGAATCTGACCTAATACAGTTTTCTTATGGTGGTGCCCCCTGCTAGGCCCCCATGAGTGTGCACTTCCCGGGGGTTCAATTCTTAGAAGGTTGTTTGGAAGACTTGGGCGCCAGTTAGCAGTACCCTGCCTGGGCTTCCCTGAGCATGAGTTCCATCTCAGGACCCTGGGAATCCTCATGGGGGTGCGTGGGTCCGGTGGGTGTGACCCCTGAGTACCCCCCTCCTTTGTGGGAGTTCGAGGGTTGCTTTGTCCCCTTGTCTCAGGGTGACTCTCATTGTTTTTGCCTCCGTCTGCTGCCTGTGGGGTCGGTGGCACCTTCGACCCGGAGTCCTGCGAGTTTCGTTGCTTGTTTGTGACTCGGTTACCCGGTCTTCTACTGACTATGTGGGTGCAGGCAGCACGATGGGTGTTGCATGTTGGGTTCAGGTGGTTGCAATGCGTTTGGTTGTTTGCTCCCTGGAAGCCCTGAGGCTGCCCTGTTTCGGTTGTTGTGACAGGGCTTGGGGGTGTTGATTGCTTCAGTTTTGTTCCTTCCTCGCTCCCTGTTGTGGTTTAGTCTGGTATTCCCCCCCTCCCCCTTCCTCCCTGCATCCGGATGCTTTCCGTCTGTGCTTTCAGGGTCGGGGCGGGGATTCGATGGTCTTGAGACTCGGGTGGTCTCGGGGGTTTCCCGTTCCGGGATAGCGACGGAGTTTGAGGCATTTGAGCCTTTTCCTCCAGCCGGGTTGTATGAGTCTGCCAGTGAGCTCCCTTCCCTAATAATTTTCCGGCTGCCCTGGCCTTTTCTTGTGAGGCTGGGGCTTTGGGGTGACGACTCGGCCCAGGGGCCTGCCGTGGAGGTCCCTGGGGTTGGGGAGGGGCTGACTTGGGGGGCCTCAGGCCCCGATGGACCTCACCGGGGTTTTTTACCCTCAGTGCGGGGCTTGCGGTTACGGGTAGTGGGGTTTTCTGGGGGGAGCCCCATCGGCTCCCCGGAGCTTTACCGGCTGATATGCTAATGTCAGACTTTGGCATCAGTCATGTGTATGGAGTTCTAGGGCCTACCGGGGACCACGAGCCAGAACCTGGCCCCCTCAGGGAGGCAAGGGGAGCAATGGCCTATAGAAACCCCCGTGTGGTTGGAAGCATTCTATGTCTGCTATCGACCGGGTCAAGAATCCAGAAAGGTAAGCATTCCAAAACAAACCCCTATTCTGGTGAAAATTGCTACCTAAGCCGAACTAGTGAATAGAACTCTTCAACAGAAAACAAGGAAACTAGTATGATGTCATATGTCACCGCGCCGCTGTCTGCGCAGCTCCCCCCTCCCCGGGAGGGGGAAGGGGGAGCCCCAGACCTCCCACGCCGGCTATCCACCCATCAGTTCTTCGGCTGATGCTATAGGCAATGGTTATGTGCTCCGGCTCCAGTGGTTGTTTCAGCACTGTACCTAGAGTGTGGTGTCTGTTTTCTAGGTGGTGCGTGAGCCGGAGAGTGATTCTTCAGTACTCGGGCTGCATGCGCCTAGGGATCCCTTCCCTAGGTGCCCTGTAAGTACTGCCCTTGGGGCTTGGGGCCACCTTCCACAAGTTCCTTGGGTCCTGCCCCTGCTTGGCCGTTTACTGCTTGGTTTTCGGCCGCTCTTTGTGTGCTCGGGTGTTCTGTCTCTCTTGTTCGCCTTAGAGTAAGGGGCAGTGTTTGCACTGGTGGGGCGCGGGGTACTGTGCAGCTTGTCTTTACCAATCATAGCGGCCGGCTCTGTTCCGCTTGGGTACGCTGTCCTCTTGCGGGGTTTTCTTTTTCTTTTTGTTTATCTACCTAGTGGGGGGTCTGCCTTCGTTCTTGCCCCTTGTGTCCCTTGTGTTCTGAGTATTTTCTGGTGGTACCCCTGCTAGGTTCCCGTGAGTGTACACGTCCCGGGGGTTCAGCTCTTAGAAAGTTGTTTGGTAGCTTTGGGTGCCGGTTAGCAGTACCCTGCCTGGGATTACCTGAGCGCGAGTCCTCTTAAAGTAAACGCTCGGGACCCTGGGAAACCCCTGGGGGCACGCGGGTCCGATGGATGTGACCCCAGAGTCCCCCCCTTGCTTCCAGCGAGTTTGAGGGTTGCTCTCACCTTTTGTCTCTGGGTGACTCTCTGTTTTGCCTCCGTCTGCTGCCTGTGGGGTCGGTGACACCTTCGACCCGGAGTCCTGCGAGTTTGGTTGCTCGTTGTGGCTCGGTTACCCAGTTGTGCTAACAAAGCGGGTGCGGGCAGCAGGGGCGTTGCACTTGAGCCTTGGTGGTGGCAACGTTCTCGTGGTTTCCTCCCCGGGAGCCCCGGGGCTGCCCCGTTGTAGTTCGTTTTGGGACTTGGGGGTGTTGGTTGCTTCGGTTCCATCCACGCCCCCTTGTCTTTCCCCTGGTTCACCCTTCCTGCCTGCATCCGGTTCCTTACCATCTGTAGGTTCGGGGCCGGGTTTTTGGTGGTGTTGAGACTCGGGCAGTCTCGGGGAATTCCCCTTCCGGGGTAGTGACGGGGGCAATTTGGGCCTGTTCCTCCAGCCGTGTTGTATGAGTCTGCCAGTGGGCTCCCTTCCTTAGTGTTTTCACGGCTGCCCCGGTTTCCTGGTACGGCCGGGGCTTTGGGGGAACGGCTCGGCCCCGGGGCCTGTCGTGTAGGTTCCCGGGGCTGGGGAGGGGCTGACTTGGGGGGGCCTTGGCCCCGTTAGGCCCCGTGGGGGTTTTTATCCCCCTCTAGGCGGGGCTTGTGGTTACGCGGAATGGGGTCTTTCCTCCCC